AGAGGTCGTCCTGTAACGAGGACACGGAGACAGAGGTCGTCCTGTAATGAGGACACGGAGACGTGTCTGCAGGCGTCTGGACCGAAGCTCCAACAGTCCTTTTCTCCTGCAGGAGCTGTGAACATGAGAGAACCTCACCTCTAATTGAGTCTCGACGTGTCGGAGCACGTTTCACCTCCAGCTGCCATCAGGCCGGGGACTGACCTCCACCTCCTCCTCCTCGCACCTCCTCTGACCATCAGACGGTCTCCTGCTGGGTCCTGTGACCGACCCGCCTGACTCATTGGACTGTTTCAGAAATGAGTCCTGAGCCGGGCCTGTGTGGACCTGCTGAGGACAACAACACACGAACACCGGTCGATTTCATCAGTCCTCGTGTCCTCCTCAGGACCAGAGTGGTTTTGTTAAACAACATCAATGATCTGAAGGTGAACTGTGGAGAAACAGATGTTTTCACGGTTCCACCAGACCAACGTTGTTGTTGTTGTTGTTGTTTTTCCTTCTTTCATAAACAGTTTCTAAATTTCTCTGAACAAAACGAGGAAGACAGATTTTTACCGATGTTTGTTTTGGTAAACGTGGACGCTACAGAGGACGGTGGTGTCCCCCGTGTCCCCACGAGGTTTGACAATTGCAGCTTTGTCAGCGTTGGCCAAACATGTCCTGATGCCTCAAACGTCCCGGTCCAATCGCTGCGGCACTAACGAGCTTCTCGGCGGAGGCCGTCTGTGTTCGGAGCAGATGCTCCGGTTGTAAATACGATGTTTGATTTGTTCTTCTCTGAAGAACCTTTAATCGCAACATGAATAAACATGTAAGTTTTATAAAATGTTAAATGGACTTGAATTAAAATATAAAACAGTTTAGAGCTTTATACAAACTTTCATCTTTGCTGAAACTGATTTTTGTCTTTTGATCTGAAATATTTGAGCGTTCTTCTTGTTTGTGTCTTCGCTCAGTTCTTGCTATTTATTTATTTTTCATTCATTGCTCAAAACTGAAAGTATGATGGTGTGTGTGTGTGTGTGTGTGTGTGCGTGTGCGTGCGTGTGTGTGTGTGTGTGTGTGAGATTCTGTCTGTTAGCAAAATATCTCCTGAGTTAGTGGATGGATTTGAATAATCGTCTACAGCTGCGTTGTTTCGCCGTTGTGTGCAACAGCTGATCGTTAGCGAGAACAAAAATGGCAGCCATGAAAATGACAGTAGGTGTGGTAGTAGCTGAGAGTCATTCCCAGCACGAAGACTTATTGAACCATATTAAACAGTGGTTACATGCTTTCCTGTTTTTGTTTTGCAGAACCAGACGTTGTGCAAAGGCCTGAATGAGCTTCAGAACGGTCAGGTAGGTCCCACCTCACAGCCCGTTTCACACGTCGGCTGACTCGTGGTTCTGGGGTTCTGTTTGACGGGTCGGTTTCTGCAGATTCAGCTCTTTGGGTCGGGTTCATTTGTTTCTCTAGGTTTTTTTTGCTTGTTTGCATGAACGAGCTCTTCTGTTCACTGTAACATCAGCCGAAGACCGTCACGTTGTTGTTGTTTGACAGCTCACAGTGGGAGACGGACCGAACACGATCACCTGCCAAAGCAGAGCGATGATGTTTTTACTCATGTCTGGAGTGTTAGCAAAATATCTCATGAGCCATCAAGTGAATGAAAGTGTCAGGAAGTAATCATCCGATCTATAGCTACAGCTGCTTCTCTTTAGGACTGATCTACTAGCTGCTGTTAGGAACATTTTAGCTGTTCTTGCCTTTTAATAAATGAGATTCAGCTTCTTCAGCTTGTTTGAGCACTCATTAAGCCCTCGGCCTGTTTCAGCAGCCGTTCAGCTCTCGGCGTGTTTCAGCAGTTGTTCAGCTCTTTGCATGATTCAGCAGTTGTTCAGCTCTGTGTGTTTCAGCAGTCATTCAACTCATGGCATGTTTCAGCAGTCGTTTAGCTCGGCCTGTTTCAGCAGTCGTTTAGCTTTCTGCGTGTTTCAGCAGTCGTTCAGCTCTCGGCGTGTTTCAGCAGTCGTTCAGCTCTCGGCGTGTTTCAGCAGTCGTTCAGCTCTCTGCGTGTTTCATCAGTCGTTCAGCTCTCTGCGTGTTTCAGCAGTCGTTCAGCTCTCTGC